TCTTCAGCTTGTTTTGCTCAGTTTAGCTCTTGTCACATTTGCAAGGTGGTTGCCCCAGGACATCCAGAAGATGGTGACCAATTCATTTTACATGTAATTAAAAAAAAGATTTTATTTACTTATTTGAAAGAGAGTACATGCTCGAGAGAGAAGATAATCGGGGGAAGGGGCAAAAGGAGAAGCAGAGTCCCCTCTGAGCAGGGATCCACATGTGGGGCCTGTCCAATCCTAGGACCCTGGGATCATGACCTGAGCTGAAAGCAGATGCTTCACCGACTGAGCCACCCAGGCACCCCATTTTGCATATCTTTTTTAAAGAAAGGGAACATTTCCCAGAAGCCTCCAAATGCATGCCCCTCATGTCTCACTGACCAGCACTGGGTAGGTGTCAGGCTTATCCCTAAACTCATCACTGTCATACAGAATGGGGTGACCCTCGATGGTTTAGATAATCAGGATTTCCTCCAGTCATGGGATGGGGTGCAGACACTGAAAATAAATCTAGGCTATGGGGCTGGTGATCAAAAGTGCTTGCTAGGACTGGAAAAAACTTTTTTTTTTTTTTTTTTTTTGAGATACAGAGGGGTGGGGAGAAGCAGGAGAGAAAGAGAATCTTAAGTAGACTCCACGCCCAGCATGGAGACCCACACGGGGCTTGATCTCATGACCTTGACATCATAACCTCAGCTGAAATCAAGAGTCAGATGCTTAACTGAGCCACGCAAATGCCCTTGGAAAGTGATCTTTACAGTTCAGTTCAATTCTGTCTATGGTAATTGGATAGATGTTGAAAAGGAAGGCCCATTATTACTTTTGTCTCACATAACTGAGGGATATCAGTGAACTGAACTATATCCCAAATGAAACCACTGATATCTTCCCTCAAACCTGCTCCACTTACAGTCTTCCCAACCATCTTAGTTAGTAACAACCTCATGATGGGCAGTAGCAGAGATATGCCCAGAAATAACTAAAGACACCTGGGGATGAAGAGAAGTGCAAAGTACCAATCAAGCTGGTGGGGGCTCATGCCAAGAAGAAAATGCAAAATACCTTTATTTGTGGCTAGACTAGTAAGGCTTTTTGGGACCACAGGTGGATAACTACAAATATTTATGATGGATGTGGTGTTTTGAAAATATAAAACTACTGTGTTTTTGTTTGTCTCTGAAATCACAGTCCCTGGTAGCCTCCCACCTGCAAGTCTGAGTCATGGGCCTTTTTGTCGCAGAAAAGGAGAGGCTGTTCACCCCCCAGAATAAGGAAATAAGAAATAGCTTGGAGTTCCAAAGTTAATTATCTTGGGGCCATAGAATGGGGTGACCAGCCATCCTGGCATGTCTAGCACAGTCCCATCTACACTTGTGGTCTTAGCATTATTTTAAGTATCCATCCATTTTACTCTCAAAGGTGTTCCAGTTTGGACAGTAAACTACAGAATCACCCCACCTTAGAAGGTAATAGTTTGAAAACCTTTTCTTGAGAGAAAAGGATTTTCTAAGTACCTTAGCATCTATTAACAAATCAAAAGTTAACCCTTTTAAAAACCCTATAGAATTTTACTATAAATCAGGAGTAGCAAGAAATCGGGGTAGAAGGTAGAGAACAGTGGTTCTTAAAGTGTGGTTTAGCAGCAGCATCTCCTGGGAACTTGTTAGAAATGCATATTCTCAGGCCCTGTCTCAGACCTGCTCAATCAGAAACTCTGGGGGGTGGCTCCATCTCAGACCTGCTTCAGAAACTCTGGGGGATGGAGCTGAGTCATGTGCTTTAACAAGCTCTCCAGGGGTTCTGATTGAAAAAAAGTTTGAGATCTTATGAAGTTGAGCAAGTGAAACACTTTTTCTTCAATATTGTGGGAAGAAAGGAAAAAGAGCTGTAGAGAAAGCAAGCCACATGGGTGAGCCACATAGGTCCTTACTTCCTCTCTCCCTGTGAGTTCCAGGGCTGAGGTAGAAACATCTACATAGAAATGGAAGATCTTGAGAACTTTTAAGTTTTAGTGGCATGCATACAACAATGAATGGAAAGAGATCAAAGGTCTTGGCGAGGGTCCATGGGAGACATAACAACATGGCACCAGGCCAGCAAAGCTAGGTGTAGAGGTCAGTGTCAGGAGAGGGAAATCTGAAGAGCTTCACAATGCCTATGATTAGCATCTACAGCACGCAGAAGTTTCCATGGGCCCTGGTGTTGGAATACAAAAAGACCGAGTCAATTGGTGGACCAGAAGAAGGCTGTGGGGAGTGCAAAGAAGTGAGGACTTGGTGACAAGACAAATGGTCTGAACCACAGACGACAGTGGTTGGACCAGTCACACTATAGCTGTCATCAGTCCAGAACCAGACTGGACCAGCAGCTCTGCAGCAGAAACCAACAAAGATCCTGATGACATCACACGGATGGGAGTGCCCTCCTCCACTGCTGCCAACAAGATGCCCAGAGTCCATCCTAGAGTGCAATCACAGGAATGGGAGGAAATTCAGCATCTACCAGTGAGACAGGAAACTGTCCACAGTCTAAGGAAGGCAGTCTTGAGAACTGCGGTGTTTGGGATAATTAACCACCTCCTCTGGAAAGTGACTAGCATTTACTAGAAAATAATTAGGCAATTTTCTCATAGACTCTGATGAGATTAAGAGCCTCTGTGGGCAGTTACATTCACTTGCACTGTCTTGTTATGAATCACCTGAACCATCAGGCTGGCACTGAATAGACAATCATTCACCTGACAGGTCTTCTTGAACCTAACGTTAACAATATCATCTAGTCGCCTGTGCTTCTAACAAAAGTTTTGGGCAGCCCCGGTGGCCCAGCGGTTTGGCGCTGCCTTCAGCCCAGGGTGTGATCCTGGAGACCCGGGATCGAGTCCCACGTTGGGCTCCCTGCATGAAGCCTGCTTTTCCCTCTGCCTCTCTCTCTCTCTCTCCCTCTCTCTCTCTCTCCCACGTTGGGCTCCCTGCATGAAGCCTGCTTCTCCCTCTGCCTCTCTCTCTCTCTCTCTGTCTGTCATGAATAAATAAATAAAATCTTAAAAAAAAAAGTTTCTACCAAAAAGAAATTTCTGATCTGGCTTTATTCCATGCTTGTTCCTCTGCAGCTTCTTTTCTTAGGTAGGCTCCATGCCCAGCGTGGGTCTTGAACTCACAACCCCGAGATCCTGTTGCATACTCTACTAAGCCCCACAGGCACCCCACCCTGCAGCAATTTGAAATAAAATATTATGTGTGCTCATAATTCATGAGAAAGCTGTTTGAGTATCTAAAAGATTCTGAGTTAATCTAAAGCAGTGGCTTTCAAAGTGTGGTCTCTGGGCCAGCAGTATTACTCGAGAACACACCAAAATGTAAATTCTCCAGCTAATGAATCAGAAACATAGGGGAGAAAGCTGACTTCTGGCTATGGTTAAGTGAAAAGGTCAGCAAATTTTCTCCCCAGAATGCAACTATAAAGCGAGACAAAATTGACAAGAGTGACTATTTCAGTGCTCTGGAAACCAACCAAAGGCTTATGACAATTTGAGAACTGTTTATGCTTGAAAGCTGCTTAACTTTGAGTAAGAATAGTGCAGGTCAGAGGCATTCTGGCCTAAGACTGCTTCCATCTCCTCCAGCCCAGTTGGTGTGGAGGCTATGCGGGGACAGGGCCATGAGGGCTAGCAGCCACGCCACTGTGGTTGAGGGGGGCTCACAGGATTTGGTGTTGTAGGTGATACCCATGTTCAGTGGCACTGTCACTGAAAGTGATGACAGCCTTGCCTTTCAGAAAATACTACAGGAAGTCTTTCAGACTGAAAGGAAGTGATAGATGGCAACTGGATGCATAGCAGAGAATGAAAAGCACTGGAAATGGTAAATATGTGGTTAATAGAAAAGACTCTATAAATATATTTGCCTAAATTCTCCTCTTAATTTTTCTTTTTTTAAAAAAAGTATTTATTTATTTATTTATTTATTTATTTATTTATTTATTTATTTATTTATTTATTTATGGGGGGGGGGCGGGGCAGAGACATAGGCAGAGGGAGAAGCAGGCTCCCTGTGGGATTCATCCCAGGATCCTGGGATCACGACCTGAGCTGAAGGCAGATGCTCAACCACTGAGCCACCCAGGTGCCCCTCCTCTTAATTTCTTTACAAGACATAAGATTGTGTAGAGCAATACTTGTAATACTGTATTTTGGGGTTTATACCACATATAACTGTAATAAGTATAACAACAATAATATAAAAGAGAGGGAAGACAATTGAGCTATATTATCATAAAGTTTCTACATTTTACCAGAATTAAATGAGTATTAGTCTCAACTAGATTTTGGTAAGTTTAGATGCTGTAATCTATGAAGCAACCACTAAGAAAATACATTTTAAAATAGTAAAAACAAGTTAACAGAAGAATTTAAGTGATATACAAAAAAACATCTATTTAACACAAAAGAAAGCAATTAAAGAGGAACAGAGAAACAAAGAAGAGATGAGACATATAGGAGACAAAGAGCAAAATGGCAAATGTAAATCCAAACATATTATTGATCACATTAAAGTGAATGGCCTACAAATCCCAATCAAAGAGTAGAGATATTCAGATTGGCTACAAAAAGCATGATCCAAATATATGCTATTTGCAAGATTCAGGGACACAAATAGGCTGAAAGTAAAAAGATACACCATGAAGATAATAACCATAAGAAAGTTGAAGTGGCTTATACGAGTATCAGCTAAAATAGATGTTAAGACATGGAACACCACTAGAAACAAAGAGGGATGTTTCTTTTTTTTTTAAATTTTTATTTATTTATTCATGAGAGACACACACAGATAGAGAGAGGCAGAGACACAGGCAGAGGGAGAAGCAGGCTCCACGCGGGGAGGGAGCACGACCTGGGACTCGATCCTGGGTCTCCAGGATCATACCCCGAGCCACAGGCAGCGCTAAACCGCTGCGCCACCAGGGCTGCGCCACCAGGCTGTCCAAGAGGGATGTTTCAAAGTGATTCTTACCTGATTCTTATCCACCCAAAGTAGTAGAAGATCATGAAGACAACTGCATCCCCTACAGGGAATAAATAACCACATTTTCTTTATAAATCTGAAAAGCATGTGTGTTAAGTTTGATATAGAGCCCAGACTTAGAAGTGACCCTGAGATTAAACCCATATCCAAGTGGACAATTTCAGCTTGGAACTTCTGGGTTCCTCAGGCACCCCTGATACACCTTGTCCTGAATGAGGTTCTTGCTATCCCCACCACTTGCTTTCCTTGGTAAATGGCACCACCATCTACCCAGTGCCCCAGGCCTGAAATGGGGGAACTACATTTTCCTTCCCCCTCATCTTGTACTTTAGTCACTGAGGCTTGTTTTCCATTTCCATTATCTCTCCCCTTTTTTTCCAGTAATGGCCTTAGGCCAGAACCTTATCATGGCTCCCAAATGGACTCATTGCCTTTAGTCTCACCCCACCCGGTCAGTTCACACACTCAGATATCCTAGGGACCATTTTTTAATTTTAATTTTTTATTTTTTTTTAAAGATTTTATTTATTTATTCATGAGAGGCACAGAGAAAGAGAGAGAGAATGAGAGTGAGAGAGAGAGAGGCAGAGACACAGGCAGAAGGAGAAGGAGACTCCATGCAGGGAGCCATGCAGGGACTCAATCCCTGGGACTCCAGGATCACGCCCTGGGCCAAAGGCAAGTGCTAAACTGCTGAGCCACCCAGGGATCCCCGGATTATTTTTTTTAAAGATTTTATTTATATATTTATTTTAGAGAGAGAAAAAGGGCATACTAGTGGTGGTGGAGGGTAGGGTGGGGTGGGTGGAGGGAGAGGGAGAAGCCGACTCCACACGAGCATGGAGTTCCATGTGGGGCTCAGTCCCACGTCCCTGAGATCATGACCTGAGCTGAAATCAAGAATCTGACACTCAACTGACTGGGCCACCCAGGCACCCTCCTTGTGATCATTCATATACATGGACATATGCATGGACATACTCATATTCCTGCTAAAACTTCTTGGGTAGCTTCTCATCTTTTCAGTTAGAAACTGCTTTTGACTCATGTAACAGAAACCTGGTTATGCTTATTTAACCAAATAAAGGTGTATTTTTTTTATGGTATGAAGGGCCAAAATAAGTGGTCCATTCCCAATGCAAACACTGTTAGTTTCTTTTTTACTTTTTTTTTTTTTTTAATTTATTTATCTGAGAGAGAGAGCACAAACCCGAGTGGGGATGGGGGAAAGGTCAGAGGCAGAAGCAGACTCCCCAATGAGCAGGGAGCCTGATGCAGGGTTCCCAGGATCACGATCTGAGCTGAAGGCAGACGCTTAACAAACTGAACCATCCAGGCGCCCCAAACCACTGTTAGTATCCTATGTCTTACAGTAACATAATGTGCACTTATAGTTTTCATATACACTATTTGTGTATACTGAAGATTTGAATGTAATTGGGGCCCAAGCCCAGCATTTTGAAAAAACCTCCCAGGTAGTTCCTTTTTAAATTTTTATTTATTTTATTTTTAATGTATATATGTATGGATGTATTTTAGAGAGAGAGAGCACATGAGCAGGAGAGGGGCAGAGAGAGAGAGAGAGACAGACAGACAGACTCAAGCAAACTCCCCACTGAGCACAGAGCCTGATGCAGGGCTTGATCCCAGGACCATGAGATCATGATCTGAGCCAAAATCAAGAGTCAGTGCTTAACTGACTGAGCCACCCAGGCGTCCCACTCCCAGGTCGCCCTAATGTGTATCCAAGGTACCTCTGATTTACAGTTGAGGTCTAGAGAAAATTATCCAAGGAGATACTGTGGGCTAGACTGAGCCAGAGTCCAGGCTGGAACTGCTGAAAATATATCACATAGGTTATTGACAAGGTTATTAATTATACAGCTACCTTGCAAATACAGTTTGCAAACTTCTAATTGTAGATGGTTCACTCCTGCTTACTAACAATCTACATTAATATTTACACTTTTCACTTTCCAACTTCTAAGAATGGCTCAGATACTTCATGCTTCTGTGATATAATCTTCTTACAAGGTTTATTGGTAATAGGTTTCAGTTTGGGGGCTTTACTAACATCTGTAGGCGGAACTAGCTAATGCCACTTTTACCTGTTTCTTGTTTGCTTCCTATTGTTGGTGCATTTGTTTCTCAGCATTAAAAAAAACCTCTTTGTTCTTTGCATATTCCCTAGCTCTGGTATTTTCTTGCAATCCACATAAAAATTATGTCTTTCAGGGGGCACCTGGATGGCTCAGCCAATTGACTGACCAAATCTTGATTTAGACTCAGGTCATGCTCTCAGAGTCCTGAGATCAAGCCCTGCATCTGGCTCTCAGTTCAGTGAGGAGTCCGCTTGAGATGCTCTCTCTCCTTCTGCCCCTCCCCCTTCTCTCTCTCTCTCTCTCTCTCAAATAAAAAATAAATCTTAAAAAAATATGTCTTTTATAATCAAAGGCCGTGGTGATAATCCCTTTGTGATGTGTGATGTGAAAGAGATTAACAAAAAACTACATATTTACTGAGAACGATGAAGGTATAAAGGGGAAATTGCCTTAAGTCACAGAAATAAAAATGATTTAGAGAAAAAGATGAGATAAAGGAGAGAAATAGAAAAATGAGCTCAAGGAAAGGAAACAGAGGAAGAAGAAAAGAATGGAAATGCAAGACTGAACTTCTGGTCTACCTTCTGGCTCACCTCGTAACTACAGAGGTCCCCAAACACAGACTCCCACTTTCAGGAATGCCAGAGTGACACAGGGTGAGCTGCTTGGTCATCTGCACAAGTTGCAGTATGATGGGAGTCATCTATCCCTCTTCCTTATTCCCTATAAAATCCAAATCTCTCTGATTACCCGTGCCCCATTCTGACTGTCCGATTCCAACCACATTCAAGACAACCCAAGGTACTTTAGGATTTGTTTGACTTCTTGGAGATAATGACTCTCAATAGGATTGGCCTAGTACCAGAGTGAACCTTTGAAAATTACCTGAGTTCTCTGGTCATACTCCAGTTTGAAACACATGAACTCTGGGGCTAAATTCTAGGGGAGGAGCACTTCAAAGCCATTATGGAATCTCAAGGTTAAAATGAATAGGGCCTGTCCTAACATTTATAAGACTGGGACAAGAGCACAAATGGAGCCCCCCACACCATACACTAAATATTTAAATGATATTAATCAAGGTAACGACTAATTAAAATATATCCTATCTTCTGCTTTAACAAATATATCTTAATAAAAAAACCTAGAAGGCAGGTTCAAATATGGAATTCTTGGACTTCTTTGAGTCCTATGTAGGAAGGAAGGCAATAGAATGAAAGCCCCCCACCCGGTCTTTCCTTCTTTCCCCACGGCAGGTTTCATGTTGCACTATGGTCAAACTTAGGTGTAATACCCATCGTGACACAGTCCATCTTTAGTCTGTCCAGGACCTGGAAACAGGCTTAGGGTGCCAAGAAATTCTAAAGTATTCAATGAGTGTTATAGAACAGCAGTTCTCAACTGGGGGCAATTTTGCCCCTCAGGGAACATTTTGCGATTTCTGGAGGCATTTTGTTTGTCATAGCTTGAGGAGGGAAGTGTTATGAGCATCTAGTGGGTAGAGGCCAGGGATGCTGTCCTACAAGGTACAGGACAGCCACCATCACAAGTAGTTATCTGAACCAAAATGTTAACAATGTCAAGACAGAGATATCCTACTTTAGGTGGACATAAATACTATTCAAGATCACAAGATACCTTGGAGATATTGTGGGTTTGGTTCCTGACCACTGCAATAAAGCGAATATTGGAATAAAGCAAGTTGCATAAAATTTCCTACTCAATGTATAAGTTACTTTTATACTATACAATAGTCCAATAAGTGTGCAATAGCATTATGTCTAAAAAAAGTATAAACCTTAATTTAAAGATATCTTATTGCTAAAAAAAAATGCCAACCATCATCTGAGCTTTCAGCCAGTCATAATCACTGAACACAGATCATCATAACAAAAATATAATGGATAATAAAAGAGTTTGACATTTTGTGAGAACGACCAAAAATGTAACTCAGAGACATGAAGTGAGCTAACGCTGCTGGAAAAATGTGCCAAGGGGCAGCGGGCTGGATCAGCCAGTGGAGTGTGTGATTCTTGATCTCAGGGTTGTAAGTTTAAGCCCCATGTTGGGTGTAGAGACAACTTAAAAATAACATCTTTGGGGAAAAAAAAGAAAGAAAAGGAAAATGGTGCCAACAGACTTGCTCCATCAAGTTGCCACAATCCTTCAATCTGTAAAAAATGCAACATCTGCAGATAAAGTGCAATAAAGTGAAGCATAATAAAACGGGGTATGCCTGTATTTAAATTCCTTAACCGGGGCAGCCCAGGTGGCTCAGCAGTTTAGCGCTGCCTTCAGCCCAGGGCCTGATCCTGAAGACCCAGGATTGAGTCCCATGTCCAGCTCCCTGCATGGAGCCTGCTTCTCACTCTGCCTCTCTCTCTCTCTCTCTGTGTGTGTGTGTGTGTCTCATGAATAAATAAATAAAATCTTTAAAAATAAATAAATAAATTCCTTAACCCTGTTCCAGAAAGAGGGGTAAAGTTCTGGGCAGGAATACTCACTTTCTTGGCCCTACAGACTCTCCCCCACAGGAGATCTGGCTTGGGGAGGGACAGAACAGGGCCTTCTAAAGTATGCAGACCCAGGGCCAGGGACTCCCTTGCCCAGGTGGGACGGCGGCAGTACTGGGAAGGAATTTAGAATACCTCCGGGGTTCTCTAAACCTTCAGGAGACAAAGCCCTTCCACTGACCAAAACGGGGGGCTGTCCAGGCTTCATCTTAGTATTTCAAAAGAGGACCAACTGTCTGTCTCAGGGTCACTCTTTGTATCCATGGGTTGGCCCCTGGGCTGGTGCTTTGACAGGTTCATACAATGAACTGAAACCTGACTCCCTAACTTCCTGGAACCCAAAGAAACTTAGACCTTGGGCAAAGGCCCTTTGGCTAGCATTTGCACATTTATGCAACTTACTAGTATGTGCCAATTATCTGGAGAATACTAGTAAGTACAAGCAGCAAAATTATAAATATGTGCACTTTCTAGATGGATGATTTAAAAAAAAAAAAACGTGGATTGTGCATCTTTGATTGAGGACGGCTTAGAGTCCAAGGGTCTACATTAGTAAACAAAATCAAGTGCAGCCCAGATGTGGCTGAAGCAGCCTCTGTCCTAGTTTCACTCTGGCTCTGAAGGCGGCCTCAGTATTTTGTCATCCTCACAACTGAATCCTCCTGAGTCCAAGAGGGAAATACGGCTCGTGGTGAAGAGTTCTCGGGAAATGGGGAGGATTTAAAAATCCCACAAAGCAAACAACAGAAATCCCCAGCAGGCAGAGCTCTTCTCACTTGGCGCCCATCCGGGTCTCCTTGTTTCCACTTTTCTTTTCAGGACACTTTCCCCAATCTGTGTTTTGGAGTCAAGCAGGTCCAGCTCATGGCCCCAATCTGCCTGACTAACACCTGCAAAGTCACGGGTTCTCAAAGTGAGGTCTGAGACCAGCAGCACCAGGGCTGCCTGGGAAGGAGTTAGGAGTGTAACTACTGGGTTCCCATCCCAGGCCCAGTTGCCCGAGCCCTTGGGGGGAGTCTAACACACACTTCCACGGGAAGGCAAGCCCATCACTTCCTCCAAAAACAGTTCAGCCACCTTTGCTGGCCAGGCATGCCCTGTGGGGATGGAAGACGTGGACTCTGCTCCCCTCGTGCTCCTCCCCCCCCCCCCCCCCCCCCCCCCCCCGCCATCCCCGGGGGCTTATCAAATTACTCTCCAGGACAAAAAGTGTGTGGTGGGGGAGGGCGGGGTTGGATTCTCAAAGCCATACTGCAGCCAACAAATTCACCCTCCTAGTGAAAAAAAAAAAAAATTCTTAGTAAAAAGTCCTACAGGGCAGCCTGGGTGGCTCAGCGATTTAGGCCTGCTCCTGGAGTCCTGGGATCGAGTCCCGTGTTGGGCTCCCTGCATGGAGCTTGCTTCTTCTCCCTCTGCCTGTGTCTGTGCCTCTCATAAGTAAATAAAATCTTTAAAATATATAAATATAAGGGCAGCCCGGGTGGCTCAGTGGTTTAGTGCCGCCTTCGGCCCAGGGCGTGACCCGGGGCACCTGGGATCCAGTCTCCCATCGGGCTCCCTGCATGGGGCCTGCTTCTCCTTCTGCCTGTGTGTCTGCCTCGCTCTCTCTCTGTGGGTCTCTCATGAATAAATAAATAAAATCTTTTAAAGAAATGAAATAAGCAAACAGTACAAACTATTTTTTGTGTATTCTGAGGATAAACATGTTCACTGGGTGCTCAGAAACGTCTGGAAAGATGGACCGGAGGCTGTAATCCCACCTCTTTTTTTTTTTTTTTTTAGGATTTTTTTTAAGTTTCATTTATTTATTTATGAGAGACCCACAGAGAGAGATATATAGAGAGAGGCAGAGACACAGGCAGAGGGAGAAGCAGGCTCCATGCAGGGAGCCCGACGTGGGACTCGATCCTGTGGCTCCAGGATCACACCCTGGGCGGGGGGAGGGGGACGACGACGACAGGATACAGTGACCCCGGGGTCACGCCCTGAGGCGAAGGCAGACGCTCGCCCACTGGGCCCCTCAGGCGCCCTGTCGGCTCATTTCACACGTTTCTGAAACGTCTCCCTTGAAGGCCGAGTAGTCCTCCCGCCTGGGGGGATCAGTCGGCCCGCCCAGGAGCAGGCCCCGACCACACACGAGGGGCGCTCCCAGGCCGGCGCGCGCCGCGGCCTCGTCACACAGGGAAGGGCGAAGAGAGCGCGGGCTCCGCCGGCCGGACCCGGGGCGCGCGGCGCGGGCCGACCCACCCGGCGCTGGGGAGAAAAGGGGAGGCCGGGGCTTGTGACGCGCCGACCTCACCCTGCCTCGGAACCCCCCCTCCCCCCCCCAAAAAAAAAACCTTGACAAGCAGTGAAAACGGCCGCAAGTCCCCCGGCTCGACGCGCCCCCCATCTCCCAGGAACGGGTGCGACCGTCTCCGCCACGTTCGTATCACCAAGGACACTTGCGAACAAAGCGACTTAGGATATCGAGGCGCGCCACGGATACCTCGCTCTCGCAACCTCGCGGACGTACGGGTCGGAAGGGAAAGGCCGAATCTTTCCACAGTTCCATGTTTCTGGGCGTTTTAGAGCCGCTGGGCGGAGGGAGCCGGCGCCGCGGGGCGCACGGCTCCCCGCGCGGCCCCCGTGGTCCCGCCCCCCGGCCCCTCCTGGCCACTCACGTGCCGACGCCCCCAGGGGCGCGGGCTGGATGCGCGGGCGGCGATTGGCTCCGGGCTGGGCTGGGCGGGGCGCGGCGCTCCGGCCTATAAGAGCGCGCGGCGCGCCCGCCTCGGTTTGCGTCGGCGTCTGCTGCGGCGTCCTCCGCTGGCCTCGGACCCCTGCAGCCGTCGGAGCCCGGCCCGGAGCGCGCCCGCCCTCGCGAGTCATGGAGATGAAGGCCGTGTGCGTGTTGAAGGGCCAGGGCCCGGTGGAGGGCACCATCCACTTCGTGCAGAAGGCAAGGGCGGGCGCGAGGCCGGCGGCGGGGCGGGGCGGGGCGGCGCCCGCGCACCTGTGCCCCGGCGCGGCGTCCGGTCGGGCCTCGGGCGGTCCTCGTCACACCGCCGCGGCGCCGGGTTTGCGGGTTCGCGCCGCCCGAGGCCTGTACCCCGCGGCGGGGCGGCGGCCGAGTGCTGAGTCACCGGGCGGGCCCGGCGGGGGCGGCGGTGCGTGGCGAGGCCTGGGCGGGGGCGCAGGGAAGGCGCGCCGGCCGCCCCCCGCGGGTGCGGGGCGTGCGGGGGCCCGCGACGGAGGGCGAGGCCGGCTGCCCCGGGGGCCGAGACGGGACGTTTCCGCAGCAGCTGGCGGCCCCTCCTTGCGGGGTCGTGCTGTGGGTCCCGAGGCTCCTGCGGACTCGGAGTGGCGCAGTCCCGGGCCTGGCCCGCCCTTGAGGTCGGGGGTGGGGGCGGGGGCGGGGGCGGGGAGTGCGGCAGGGCCACCTGGGGCTGGGCGCAGCCGTTACCCCGCGTCGGGGCTTCCTTCCCGCCCCGCAGCCTGCAGCCCGCAGCCCGCAGCCCGCGGGCACGGCCGGTCCCGCGGCGGGTGCAGCGCAGCCCCCGGGGCTAAGGGGGTGGCTTGTGCCTGATGAGTTCAGAGGGTCCTGGGAAACCAGACTCCTGTGACTGTCTCAAAGGTCAAAAATGAAACCATCGAATCCCTGAAGTAGCAGTAATGAGTAAAAAGTTTGTAGTGCGCACACCGGAAGGCGGTCGTGAACCGGGGAGCACTCAGACCAAAAACAGGGAAGGAGGATGGGGCGGGGGAAGTGGGTGGGGGCGTATATTGTCCTAAAGCGGCTTGAATGGGGGAGAAGACAGGGACGGTCTGTTTTTCACGGTGACGGGGGTCACGGTAGTTTTCTTAAGTGATAAGAAATTGGTTAGCGGTCACCACGTACCGGCCTTGGGAAACAGTGTTACCATTGGCTTGGATTCCCAGCGGCGTAAGTAAGAAATGACCCAGGTCGAGTTAGTCTTGCAAAAGAAGCCAATTAAGCTGTGCTTGTGTGACTAAAATTGGCTTTGTCTGATCAGGGAATTTTCAAGGCTGGTCTCCCGTTTGGTTTTGATTTCAGCAGGACAGAGACCTTAGGTAGCACCTTACAGAAAAGTTTGGTAACCGTTGCTCTAGGTCAGGGTCAGGCTGTAAAGGCAAAGGAGATGGCGTTGGATAAAGCTTTTCCGCCTCCAAAGCTCCAGAAGCCAGAGAGAGAAACGGCTCCCTTGTTGGTTATTTTCCAGACCTGTGTTTGTTTTTGTTTGTTTGTTTGTTTTTTAAAAACCCTGGGTGCACAGTGGGCTCATTTGGGGAGCTTTTTTTTCCCTTCTTTTTTCTTTTTATTTATTTATTCCTGAGAGATGCACAGAGAGAGAGAGAGAGAGAGAGAGAGGCAGAGACACAGGCAGAGGGAGAAGCAGGCTCCATGCACCGGGAGCCCGACGTGCGACTCGATCCCGGGTCTCCAGGATCCCGCCCTGGGCTAAGGCAGGTGCTAAACCGCTGAGCCACCCAGGCGTCCCTGGGGAGCTTTTTAATAAAAATGTTGATGTCAGGGCCCAACTCCAGGTGTATCAAAATCTGTCAGAGTGTGGTCTGAGCTTTGCTGTTTTTAAAGTTTTCACAGAAGTACTAGTTTGCACCAAAGATTGAGAACTAATGTTGGTAGAGGGTACTGGATGGGGTTTGGGAGTTGGAAGTCAGGAGGTGGGGACAGTTCCGTTTGATTGACTCTGTTGGAGCATTCATTTAACCAAATTCTCTGTAAAGTGGTCTTGAAATTGCTCTACCAACAGGCCCATTACTGAGATGGTAAAAAAAAAATAAAATGTACAGAAATAATAATACTGCAGAACACATTTTACAAGGAAGGTGCTTGTGGTAAGACTTGTCCCCCAAATCTTAGTGAAGTTAAGAATTGATGGAAAATTGTTTGTTGTATTTGGCTTGATGATCATAATATTTAACATATGAATGAGATTTAATCTTCAAAGTGTCTTACAGAAATGTAAGAGGACAGGAACAGGAAAACTAATCTTTGAAATTTATGGGAGGAAGCTTAATTCTTTCCTTTAAGTGGTTTCCAGATTTTCTGCAAACGGCATTTTGTCATTTGACTAAATTTTGCTGTTTTCATTTGCCAGACTTTGTTTTGCTCTTCCCTCCTTGGCCAATACTAGAGAAATCTCAAGGGTGGGGGTGGGGGTGAGGGGATCCCTCTGGCCATGGAGAACTAGCTTGGGCATTACATTCAGAAGCCAAGCTGTGAATCCATGCATAACTGAGTTTTCCCACCTTCTCTGAGTAGCGTGTGTGGCTCCCTCGTTTTAAGTTCCAAACTTCATTTGGGTGGTGCTGTTTGTACCTGATAAAAGATCCTTGTGTAGTGAAGCATTACAGCTCTACGAATATGCAAGAATGTTAAATTGGAAATGAGCCCTATTTGTTTGTTTTATAGAGGGTTTAAAATTGTTGATTAATTTTCTGTCTTTAAAAATAAGAAGTTTTCAGCTGTAAGTCCAAATTCCTAGCTTCCCTTGAAAAAATTCGGAGATCTGCCCATGCTGAGCCCTCATTAGCTCAGGGCAGCACCCTGCAGGACAAGTTTATATTTCTTTTTTGCTTCCCTGACCTGTTTTAGTCATTTAAGGTAACAGCCAGCCTGGTCCCTATAGGGTTGTACCCAGACAGGTTACTGTTGAACTGCTCCTATGCGCTCTGTGCATTACCTATTAATGGAGGCTTGGAAAAACCTGCCCTTTTTGTCCCTGTGCTGTTGGTAATACAGTGTGTTTCCATGTTTTAGTTTTTCCAAAATTAAAGCTTGTACTTAGAAGAATCCTAGTCTATGTATTTTCAAAAAGAAAAGCGAAGAAGGGCAGCAGTTACCACACTACTTCTTTGAGTAGCAGTGGTTATCTAGTGGAAAGTAAAAAATTCAAGGCTAGCACGTCTTGTAACTGTTGGCCCTGGCCATTAAAAAGCAAACCAAGGAAAAAAAAAAAAAAAGCAAACCAAGCTAAAAGCAAAGACACCGTCATCGTATTACCGTGTGGTATGGATGCTGTGTATGTTTTATTTTAGTTCCTAAGATCTCTTAGCTGTAATAGTTAACTTTCTTTATTTCTGTATGCAGCCCTGCAGCTCTATTATCTATCACCATTACCTGCATCATGATACCTGTGTGTTTTTCTGGTTTAGCGGTTTTTTTTTTTTTTAAGATGTTATTTATTATTTATGAGACGCAGGGGGAGAGAGGCAGAGATACTGGCAGAGGGGGAAGCAGGATCCTTGAGGGGAGCCAGATGTGGGACTTGAGGATCACAACCTGAGCCAAAAGCAGATGGTTAACCACTGAGCCACCCAGGTGCCCTTCTTCTGCTTTAGTGTTTTTTATCGCCCCTTTTTGGTCTTGAGCAGAAAGGTTATTTAGGTTTGAGGGCCTAAAATGACTTTAGAAAACAATTGCTTAGACCAGAATCAGTCCCCCAGGGAAAGTTGGATAGGATATTTTCTATTAAAAAAAAATATTTATGCCGGGAACTGATAAATCCCCCTCTAATGGGAGAGTGGAGAACAGGGATCCTAGAGTAACCAGTTGGACATTTTCAGGGTGTCTTTTTCTTTTTTTGGTGGCAAATCTATGTTTGCTCTATGGAAGAGTGCACGAAGAAAACAAGGTATATGGTGTGCTAATATTTGGATTAAAAAGTTTGATGTATATACATTTATTCAGCGAGTGCAAATATAACGTATTTGAAAGCATTTACAAAGTAACTTTTTCATATTACATATTCATTGTAAGGAGGTCAAATCCTATGAAGTCTGTAAAACTACCGCCTTAGTGCTCACTCTCCTTGCCCTACTGCTAGATGCTTTCCCTGTGCTATTTTATTAATCGTGATGCGGGCTGCAGGGCTCCTGGGCTGTGAGTGTTAGAACAAGGTCACATCTCCCTTGTGTTGGGTCCCCAGCCTAGAATGGTTATAATAGCTTGCTAGAAAGTGGTGGGCCTAGGATTTGGACACAGATCTTTAAACTCTCAAGTCCATGTTCCTTCCACTTTCTTGTGATTGGTAAAGATAATACAGCTGTTTTCCTTGTTCAAAAGCACTTGCTCTCTCATTTTTTGTGCTTTTCTTTGACTGAAGGGAAGTGGGCCTGTTGTGGTATCAGGAACCATTACAGGGCTGACTGAAGGCGAGCATGGATTCCACGTCCATCAGTTTGGAGATAATACACAAGGTGGGTGTTGTGTTGGTCTAGTGACTCTTCTATTTGTTTCATCTAGTAAGATAGGACTGAGTAGAGCTACTCCTAAACATTGAAAATCCTCAGCATGCCAAAAAAAAAAAAAAGGTCAGTAGGATTACTAAGGTCAGCCTTAGGGAAATGATCTACAAAGCCGGTTTTTGACTCTATTGAAGTGTGGAAAGGAAAAGGGAAGAAGTTGATTTTTTTTTTTTTTAAGACTTTACTTATTCACGAGAGACACACAGAGCCATATGCAAAGGTAGAGGGAGAAACCGGGAGCCCGATGTGGGACTCGATCCCAGGACTCCAGGATTAATACCTGAATCAAAGGCAAATGCCCAACCACTGAGCCACCTAGGTGTCCCAGAAGTTGATTTTTTAAAAATCATGATTATATTTTGATTATAAGAGTCTCAAGTATTTAAGAGAATAGAAAATAAGAAGTTAAGCTACTTTTTTATCCTCCATAGTGATCTCAGGTGTTTGTGAGCTGGGGGTCAAGGGTGAGTGCTTCACACCCAGGGTCTGCATTTATTTTTGTTACCGCTTAAGAATAGCTCCCTACCTTCAACACAAGAGCCTTAGGGGGACAGAAGTAAGGTAAAATCTGAAAAAAAGAATGTAAACTATTGGTGCTTTTGTTTGAGTTTCATTTCCTCAGTTTGGGATTAGAAAGCAATTTAATGAAAACCTATGGGGTAAAATGCATTTACTCATCATTTTCCATATTCAGGTAACCTGGTGTTTAGACTTTTTCTGATAACTTGATGGATTCATTTTGCTGGATTTGTTTTTATGTTCTATAATTTGGTTCTTCTAGAAATTATGATTAATGACCAGCTTTGGTTCATTTTGACGATTAAAATTCCTCAAGTTGCTCTCTTTTTTACTGCCCCTGTGCTTTGGGAGACATCTGCCTATGTCTTTGACTTACTCTGCTACTTCTCATAACCTGTGTTGTCTTCTCCCTGGGGGAGTTGGGTTAGAAGCTGTAAACAATGGAAACTTCCCATCACCTGCTGAGTGAAGAAAGCCTGTCACAAAAGAACGCCCTGCATTGTTGTGGTTGTGTTCTGTGAGAATGGCCTTCCTTGAATTACAGAAGCGCTGTTTTTACAGAATATATTCTGAATGCCACCCCTTGGAATTCTGTGGGGCAGTGGCCTTGGCCCTTAGATACAAGGTGCCATTATATTCTGCATGCACCAAGTAGAGGCCACCAGCAGTAGTTGCTGGAAGTTTGTTGCTAGGGAGGTAAGTCTCTTATAGTTAAGGTATGCTACCTTATAAGTTAGACCATAATCATGAAATTTTAATAAAAGCAGAACCATGAAGATCAAGTCCTAGCCCTTTTATTTTACAGAGCAACGAAGAAACCAAAGCCCAGAGAAGGGTATTATCTCCATTGGTGTTAACACACTAAAATTTGTCTCTACTGCCTGCCCATTTTGTTGATACTGAAGTGTTGCTTCCTGTTTTTATGAACCTAGAAGTCATGATGTATGTCAGTATTTTCTGTATTTGAGGTTTTAGCAATGGCCAGTTTCTTTTTTGGTATTCTGAATTCATAATTCAGCTTTTTTCTTTTTTTTCGGGCAAATAGGCTGTACCAGTGCAGGTCCTCACTTTAATCCTCTGTCTAAAAAACATGGTGGGCCAAAAGATCAAGAGAGGTAAGTGACAAAGTGCTTAACTCTTACTAAAATTATGGCAGTGGCTTGGGGTCAGTACGGGTGTATTCCTTGCAGACTGCACGCTAGCAGAACTGAGTAGGCCTCCCCACCTCTGCTCTTTTTGTTTGTCCCTCAAGTCCCCCCCCCCCGCCCCCCCCTCAAGTGTTGGAGTAGCTTTCTCCCTGGGCTGAGGAATTGACAAATGAGGACACTTAAGACGAATTGGTTTTGTAGCATTTATTGAATATAGAACTAATACAAGTGCCAAAGGGAACTAATACAGGAAATGTCATGAATAACAGTACTGTCAACCACTAGCAACATAAACCATCATTGTGAAACATAGGAAGCCTTGTAGTTGAAAATTGGATACTGAAAATTCAGTGAGTCCATTTTTATGTGTGTTTCCTGAGAGCCTTTCAGGAAAATATTAAATTTAAGGGCAGGAATTAATTTATCTTTATAACAGGCGTTGGGGCATAGCATTCTTAGCCATGCCAAGAATTAACAGGCATAACTCAGTAACTCAGAGTTTACCCTTTGGTACTTTACCTCTGAAGTTAGAGATGTGCCCCCATCCCACAGTTCTTCTCAGAGCATTACTTTGTACATTTGAAGCTGTGTTTGAAGAGCAATGTGTCTAGAATGTCAGGTTGTTTCTAGTTTTTGTGTATGTTCCAAAACACTCAATCTGCAGGAGTGGGTCCTATTTTATACATACTATGTCCACCTCTTAGTCTACCCTTCTGTATCTGACTCAGTTTTTACTTTAGCTCACAAACTAGCCTGAATCAGTCCTAATCACTGATGCTTTTTCACTGTTAGGCATGTTGGAGACCTGGGCAATGTTACTGCTGGCAAGGATGGCGTGGCCATTGTGTCCATAGAAGATTCTCTGATTGCACTCTCAGGAGACTATTCCATCATTGGCCGCACCATGGTGGTGAGTTTTCATATGATAGGATATGCATACCAATTCTTCTAATACACAGACCTATCTTTTCACGATTTCATGATTGTTAATCCTGGTTTCTAAGGATCCACATACATTGTACCTTTAGTTCAGATTAGGAAGGGCAATTATTTTATTGGATGATTACAGTGAAGGTGAATTAATGATGTAGGTTGGTTATGACACTGTTCTGCAAAGATAAGATGGTTAAGTAGGTTACATTTGGTCATATTAGATCTGTATCGTGGAAACAGAAGTAGTCTTTTCTGGTTTTAAGATGGCCAGATTTTCCTGCCACAATTTAGTGTCCCCCTTGTAAATAGAACATTTAAGTCTAAAATCTGAGATGAACCTCAGTATTAGTATTTATTCATGTCTGCAAGTCACCATCACTTGTTTAATGTGTGGGAAGCCATTGCCCAGAGTTACCCACAGGAGCTGCATCTGGTTCTCGCAGATACCAAGTAGCGTAGGCTCTGTGTTGCCTGCCCAAGAGGACAGTTAAAGGCTCTGTAGTCCTTTCCTTCCAGGTGACCCTAGAGTTTTCTTCAGCTATAGTTGTGAAGCAGAAAAATCATTGATCAATGTTTGAGGAGCCAAATCTTAAAATACTATTGTTTAAATAGTTGAAGATATTTTTAGGATTACTTACAGACTTATAGTTTCATTAGGCACATTTTTGAGGTTTTAAAAATTCACTGTTTTTTTTTTCTTTCAAAACAGTGATTATTAATAGTATAACTCAGGCTACTAAAATTTCACCTGGAGGATTTTTAGTATTTCATTTAGAGATAGCAACACATACCTAGTGTTTATAATGAACTTAGTCGGTATCATCAAGAAAAAGCTTTGAGTAGTAGTTTCTGTTGTTTACCACTAGTTTAAATATTAGTATATTTCCTTGCTAGGATTATTTGAACATGGTTTTTTTCCTAATATTAAGTGCTTCTTAAAATTTGTCTTTTGGGTATTGGGAAAAGGTGGTGATCACTTGATAGCACTAAGTTACGTTAATGTTCTTAAAACTTTTTAAAGGTCCACGAGAAACGAGATGACTTGGGCAAAGGTGACAATGAAGAAAGTACACAGACAGGAAACGCCGGGAGTCGTTTGGCTTGTGGTGTCATTGGGATCGCCAAGTAAATATTCCCTAGGATGCGATCTGAGTTCTAGTTAACTCCTATGTTATCTTGCTAGTTGTAGAAATTTAACTTGATAAACATTAAACATTGTAACCTTAAAAGTATAATTTGTGTGACTTTTTAATTGCTTTAAGTACCTGTGATGAGAACTGATTTATGATCACTTGGAAGATTTGTATAATTTTATAAAACTCCTATTCAGTTAAAATGTATGTTTCAACGATCTCTGTATTTTGCCAGGCTTAATCATATATGGGTATTAAACTTAATTGTCTGAATTTCTTCAATTCTCATTCAAGCCCGCAATAAACAAATACAACATATGGCACTGAATTCTTAACCTATTAAAATACCAAACTGAAACTCTTAATTAGCTCTTCATATTCCTACATTAGAGCTTGAAAGGAACAGATTTAGTGATTAATATGTTAACAGATACTCCGTTTCATAGAGGTCGCTTTTTAAAGTGTTTTAAATGAGGGAAGATGTTTAAATTTTTAGCAGCTTGGTCTTTTAGCTAACACTAACCTCAACTGGAATCTTGGTTGGACAGATCTCATCTCCTTTTTGTCAGCTTTGGGGGAAATTAAGGTGGTCTCCCTGATTAGCTACTTTAGCTTTTTTATTCAAAAAGTAGGTAAGTTTATTTTAAAAAGTAGATGTTATGGTTTGAGAGAACCCTTTGATAACTGGTAGCAAAATTGTGAACAGCAAGTTATAGCCTCAGCTAAGAAAAAATTCACCTACCTGCCAAAATAGCATGTATTCCACATATCTTACACCTGTGAACATTTATTTAGTTTATAGTAAGAGTAGAGGTTGGCACAGTCTGCTTTCAGATTAGCCGTTTAAAGAAAGATACCGTAGCATTATAAGATGGAACCAAGGAAATGTTATGGCTCCTTAAGATTTTACACATCCAATTAAAGTCTAGTTCTCTTATTGTAAATACTATATACCTATGAGAAACTGCTTTTAAATGAAATGTTAATTCAGGTTTGACTGGGGATTACAGTTCATTAATTGAAAGCTGTAGAATATTATTTCTGATAAACCAGAAGAAATGTTACAATTCTGATCATAAATATATGGTACACTTACCAAATGTAGGATATTGGTGAGGAGAGGAAAAGCCAATTTGGCAAAAGACAATTTGTAGTGTTTTTCAAAGTATTAAAATTGGTGATAAAACATCCTCAGAAGTGGTTAAAATCACAGCCAGAATTCAAAAACCGTAATGGATTTCACTAGGGTACAATTTTGGTGCACGTATGTGGGAGAAGACTCCTACTGGGCCTCACTTCTGACCTTCAAAGTCTTAAGTGTAATCACTACCAGTTAGTACTATGGGGGGAGGTCTTGTCATGTGCAAATAGGGTGGTTCCAATACTTAAAAATGGAAATACGGGTTTTGGGTTTTAAGTCCTTGAAATCTGAACACTAAATAATCAGATGTAGATTTCTTTACGTAAGAAGCAGTTTCAGTTAGGACTCTTAAACCTCTCAGGTGGGCCAACAAACGAAGGACAAGTTTTATAATTCAAGTGTAGATAACAACCTGGATTTTCTCAAGTCAGGAACACAAGAACATTGTCCTAGATACATTTTCCCCATCAAAACAAAGATCTTGCTGTAGACTACTACTTAAAAACCAAAGTAATAAAGCAGCTTCACCTGGGGATGAGGGCAAAGAAGTTACCTGCTCAATGTACCAAAATTAGGACAGTTTAAAAATGTAAAAAACAAAAACAAAAAAAAAAAAAAACCTTCAACAAGGCCATAAATACTTGGATTGTGTAACAACAGGTCTTTTCCTTGGCACTGGGGAAAGCAGTTTTGTGGAACTGCTTTTCTGTACTTTTTAGATATAGGTTTGATTTGGCTTTGGATGTCTTCACGTAATAGTTCTTGGAAACCTACATCTATTTTTCCTAGTTGACCCAACCATTTTAAGCAAAAGAAAATATATGTTCTTGTATGTGACAAAAAGTTCAGTCTACCTCTGCCCAGCAGGGGAGTTTAAAAAATGGTAAAGAAAGGCAACAGTCAAGGCTTATAAGGAAACAACAGGTTGCATTTAAGTCCTTAAACATATAAAATAAGACAAAAAGCTTTTAGGTTGCAAATGTTAACCTTGATTTCTTTCACCCTTCTGAAAAATTTAATGGGATGGTAAGAAAACACTCAACCTTCTAAATAAGTAATACCCAGGCAATCAGATAATTCTATAGTACAATCGGGTAGTTTGGGATCCAGTTTTCCCCCAGCAAAATCTCTCTTTACAAATTAATTAGGGCAACATTTACCACAAAGCCAATGGCAAGAAAGATAACCTTGATTGAACTGCAAAACTAACAAGCTTTTCAATTAACATTAAAACTAACCTTTACACCTTATGATTGAAAGGCTAAAATTCAAAAATATTACAAATGAAAGTGTTTGAGAAGAACTACATAAAGATGTCTATTTCCATCAAATAAACAAGTCTAATTTAGACTCCCAATACAGTATTAACAGCTCAAACTTTGATGGTGAACAATCCTTTTCCACCTTAGTGCAGTGTAGGAAGAATAGCACACATTAAAGTTTGTTATGAAAATAGAGTTTATTAAAAACATCCCTATTGTTTTGAGGAGCTTTCACCGTTACCTTGTCTTAAATTAAAAAAAAAAAAATAGAGAGCACTTCTAATTACGATTTGTAAACTTTTTAAAGTCAAAACTTTTAAAAAGTTACAGCAAAAAGGGTAATATTTATTCATATTTTCAGTATTTTTTGTTATTTTGTGGCTATTTTTAAATAGAAGGGAAGCAATCAAATTGCTTACAATTCCCCACCAACTACTGCGGGGCTGTGATATAGCAGGAGCAAATATAATACAGCATCTGTACACCTCAAGCTCTACACTCCAGAAGTGTCACTGTCACATTTTGACAAATTCCAGTCTCTAACGAGGAGCCTCTGCTGCTGAGCCAGAATCCTTTTCGGGTTCAACGGATGAGGTAGCCTCAGCAGGTAACTCTTCAGAAGGTTTTACAACTGCAGACTCAGACTCCCCCTTATCAAGTTCTGAAACAGTGTCTACATTTCCCACTTGGCTAATGGGAGGTTCAATGGTTTTGTTACCACCTGCCCTGTCTGTCACCTCAGGCTTCTCCTTTCCTCGGTTTTCTTCCTTTTCTCTACGAGACTCTCTATCTCTAGAATCTCTCTCTCTGTCTCGATGCCCACTAGAGCGTCTATTTCTCTCTTCCAAGTCTCTGTGCCTGTCCCGGTCAGGGCTCCTTCTTCCCCACTCTCTCCTTTCACGATTACTATTATCTCTATCATCATTACGGTTCCCATACCGTTCCCGGTCATTTTCCACCCTATTTCCAAAAGATCTTCTTCCAAACCTCTCTTGGTCTCTACCTGAATTGAACTGCTGCCTGTTATCATTTCTAAACGGCTGTGGTTGCTGCTGAGCTGGTGGTGGCTGCTGCGCTGGTGGCGGCTGCTGCGGCTGTGGCTGTGGCGGTGGCGGCTGCTGTGGCTGTGCTTGTTGCTGCCTTCCGTCTCTGTCTTCAGGACCCCCTGGGCCTGGCCCTGGGCCCCCAAGCCCTGGCATTCCGCCAGGCCTAACAAAGGGGCCATGAGGTGGAAAGGGGCCTTTCATCCCGTGAGGTGGAGGCATTCCAAAGCCCCCAGGTCCTGGAGGTGGACCTCTATGCATCATATGTGGTGGCATGGGACGAGGTGGCATCAAGGGAAATCGCTGTAAGTGAGGCGGAGGCATTCCTGGAGGGCGCTGAAGTGGGATCAGGCCGGGTCGGGCTCCAAGAAGACCAGTGGATGGTGCCTGGAGCCCAATTACAGGGCCAGGGGCAACTCCTTGAGTACCTAAAAGAAAGCAAAAATAAAAATCTATATATAAAGTAATGTAGAAGATGGCATTCTATTCCACTTGTTTCCTGTGGAGCCTGAATCAAAGTGAATGAAGTTCAATCCAGAATCTTCAGATTTCGTGGTGTTTGCCAGTTTACCTGTGAGAAACTCAACATGAGGGCCTAGTAACAACTGACCTGCATTCTTAAAGATCTATTACATACCATATATCTATCTATCTATCTATCTATCTATCTATCTATCTATCTATCTATATATATATGGAAGAACAGCACATACTAAATTTGGTATGAATATATATACACATATGTATTACTAATATATAGATAATTAGTATCTAATATTGGGAGAGGTCAAAATTAGCTGGAAAAGGAAAATGCAATATACTGATTTTTGGAAAAAGTATGTTAAAAAAAAGTATGTTAACGTCTCCTACAGCCTTCATTAGCTGTTTGGTAAAAATACTTAAAAAACATTTGAAAAATATAATGTACTAGGCCTAATGAGAAAGGGCAAAATATCTGAACCAACTGAAGGCCAGCTCAGGTGTACTCTTAGGAAATTTTACACTTTAAGTCTTAAGACTAGAAACAAATGGGGTCACTGACCCAGAAAATCCACTGAAGAGGGAGGGCTCTTTGATTCTACGTCATCCAAATGCCTTACTATACAGTAACCATCACCTGAAACAGGAATGCTTATAAATAAAGATCGATACACCAGTGCAAAGTTTATTTTTACAGGTCCTCTTTCAAAGCACAGCATAAGGTGTCACTTGCTAGGCCACAATGACGGAGGTATTCATCTTCTTCATTCTTCCTAAGGTGACAAGACGCTGGTGCTGTTGACAGCGGCAAGGACTTACTAGCTTTATTTCCCATTTACATGAGGGTTTCCTCACGTTTTGGTGAAAGTCATACAAATTCAACAATCCATCATTTAAAATGCTATGGCAAACAGGACGGATTTCTGTTTCAGATCAGGACTTAAGTAACACAGAAAGGCATCATCTCTCTCTCTCTTTGTAAGCATCAACATCACAAGGCACATGCTATGGCCAACAGGAGTTACTGTAACATTGGGGATGTTCCATATGTTGTCAGAATATATACTGTTGACCCCTTTGTGCAAGTTATGGGTTATGACTAGACCAGCAATGGTAGAGAAATGCCTGGGTGACACTGATTAAAAAAAACAAAAAAAAGGGATCCCTGGGTGGCGCAGCGGTTTGGCGCCTGCCTTTGGCCCGGGGCGCGATCCTGGAGACCCGGGATCGAATCCCACGTCAGGCTCCCGGTGCATGGAGCCTGCTTCTCCCTCTGCCTGTGTCTCTGCCTCTCTCTCTCTCTCTGTATGACTATCGTAAATAAATAAAAAAATTTAAAAAAAAAAGAATGTTTTAATAAAAAAAAAAACAAAAAAAACAAAAAAAACAAAAAAAAAAACAAAAAAACAAAAACAAAAACAAACCCCAAGAGCAAACCCAATACTTTTATTAAGTATTTTTCTTTCCCTCTCCCCCAACATCAGGTTATTTTCTGGTTTCAACTTGAACCACTTCCTCTCATGTGCTTCAGCAAACATTTAACAAGTCCTGCTGGCTCCTAAATTTTTTGTACAGGCAATACTAAACATAAACAAGAATTTCTACTTCAGTATGTGCTCCTCACATGTTGTTTGATACTACTGTCAGATTTGAATAAACAGAGTGTACCTGAAAAATGTATGTAAACCAGTTTATAACTTTTAACCTGAAGACTCACCAGCTTTGGTATTTACTTACAATACCTTCTTTCAAATGCTTAAAAAGTATGTTTGGTGAAATCTAATCTCACTTAGGAATGACTTTGGACATGTGCCTCAGAAATGAGAGAGTGAGCTCAGAGCCTTCTCCATAGTTAAAATGCTGAAATTATCACATCTATTTTCATGGGTGATAAATATCCTAACATTAAATATCTGACTTCACAAAAATAGATGCATTTTTTTTCATTGCTGATTCAGATCATACTAACCTCTTGTGATCACCCAATACCCACCAGAATTTAAAGTCCAGCACTTTGGTAGCTGGGAAAATGTGAACACACTGAGCTTCCACATGTCAGGTGTAAAGGTAAAAATACGCTAAATACAAATACCACAGTAAGTTACAGCAGAAATTACGAAGTAGATGATTGAGGCAAAGACCTTGTCTCTTCACATACTCTTCAGACTCCTTGAAAATCCCAATGAACATATACAGAACCGCCACATATCCGTATTTCAGATCAAAATGAATTCATGATGGCAAACATTATTCCTATCACTTAGTAAACACTGAGTGTATACCATACAGCAGGGTAACAAAAGCACCTAAGATATGTCCTTTCACTTTTTAAAGAAATGTCCCAATATCTGTAGACTCTAACTCAAATATAAAATGTATTGTATCTAGTACTTTCCTTTTAATAGAGACACCACACATAGACACACTTAAACTGAGCTTTACTTTCCCCACCAACCTTTAAAACATGACCAGTTTACTCTCTTATAGAAATTACTATGGCATATTTGAGTACTTATCTATAGGTTCAAGAGGACAATGCCAAATTTTTAATTAACACTAGAAAAATGGGTAAGAGGTTCAAAGCATATTATAACAAAAGAATTAGGTTCAAATGAATCTTTAAAAGAAAACAGTGACTCTTGCTGGACAATAGAAAAGTCCTATTTCCTGATTTACCCATGAAGACTGGCTTCCCTTAACTACCAATCTTGACAGTGGCCAAAGGATGTAAGGCCACCTTACCATTATACACAACAGATAAACTGGCAATGTTTCTCTTTAAAATATAAACCTGTCTCTAGGAACACATCTCTTAAGTCCTTTGTAACATGCATTTGAGTACAGAGATTGACTCAATGGGATTAACATTTATGGTAATCATGTAAACTACCTACAAAGCATACTTTTTTATAAAGCAAAAATACTGCCTAGTTCATTGATTATGTGTGGATATTTTTATTTGCCTAAAACACTACACACTCAGATCCCTTCTCTCATTTGTAAGTAAGTAGATTTCCATTTAATCCTTCCTGGATTGGCATTTACAGCTTCTCCTGACAAGAGTATTCCCATAGTCCTAAATGCGGGCCTTCAGGCCACAGAAGTGATAAAATTGTGAATTATTATTATTATTTGCAGTGAACATGTGTTGCTTTTATAATAGAAGTTGTATTTAACTAAAAATATACCAGATGGCATAAGCCCTTGATGGGTATGCTAGCTGAATTTCATTTTTTTAGGATAGCAGACATTATATATACATCAATGGGCTATATAGTTATGAGTTACTGAGGTCTAAAGGGCATTCAAAACAATTATTCATTTGCTCTGGAATTAGGACGTGCAATGCCACTGACAACTTTTCTTGAGTTACAAATTAAAAAAAAAAAAAATCACACACGTTGAACACCTGAGCTTTACATTAAGAGATTTCATGTGCTGGAGATATAAAACATAGTCCATTCCTTCAAACAGGATATATAGCCTAACCAGAAACAAAGACATCTGACACGTGATGGAAGAGATGGCACGAGCTACTATGGTAGCAAAGGTGGAACTGCTTCATGAACCCGAATGTGTGCATGAACCTGAGTGTGAAGCCTAGGGTGTATGAACGGGGTCTCAAAACAAAGGACATAACTAGTCAAGAGAACTGCAACAGTGTCTTTGGGCTAGAGAGAGAAAACAAAACAGGAGATGAGGTTTACTATTGAAGCAGCAAGAAAAGAATTTGTGTGAATACAAATTACTACCAGTTAAGGAAAGAGGTTCATGAGGCTGAGCGAGCGGGCTAGCACAATTCAGAGCTGATAAGCCACAAGAAGAAAGCTTGGACCTTGACTTAAGGGATGGGGCGACGACCAAGCCATTTTTGGCAGGGATCATCCCGTGTTCATATTTGAAAGACCTTTCCTGCAAGCAGTGTACAGGAGAGCCAGGTGAGGAAAGACACTGGGAAGCAGGAAGACCCAGAATCCAGGAGGCGGAAATGAGACTGAACTGGAGGGGACAGAGATGAGGAAGAGACATAAAACATGTAATGGGCAGGCCTGAAATTTGAGGTGCAGGAAACATAGCTCTCTGTTCTGAATGAGCAGATGTAAGTATCAGTGCAGTGCAGGAATTTAGAAGAGGAGTTACTTTGGGGGAGACATATGACAAATTTCTACTGAGAGCTGGAAGAGACTGGGTCAGATCTGGTGGAAATGTGTGGAAGAATCTGGTACATGTATCTATAGTTCACAAGAGAAGTCACAGTGATACCCATGGTACAGGTGAGAAAAGGGAAAAGTTCAGACCTGGGCAAACACCACCTCAAAAGTGTCTGAAATTGGGATCCCTGGGTGGCACAGCGGTTTAGCGCCTGCCTTTGGCCCAGGGCGCGATCCTGGAGACCCAGGATCGAATCCCACGTCGGGCTCCCAGTGCATGGAGCCTGCTTCTCCCTCTGCCTATGTCTCTGCCTCTCTCTCTTTCATTCTGTGTGACTATCATAAATAAATAAAAATAAAAATAAAAAAAAGTGTCTGAAATTTTAATACAGCAAGATGTTAAGGCAGGAAAAAAGGGCAGCCCCAGATGTCTGCCTTCAAATTTGAGAATACAAGAAACATGGAATTTAACTTGAAATAACCAAAACTGAACTGTGAATATTCCTAAAACGAGCCAAAACCAGTCATTTCACAATTAAAAACTAAAAGTCAAGATTAAAGGGGAGGTGCCAGCGCTGTCTAGAGCAAAGCTGTCCAGCTGGAATTATGTGACGTTAAGAACAGGTATGTTAAAAGGCTACAGGAGCAGTGAGAGAGGGGAAGGTGGTATCATGGCTGGAGTCCAATGTGCATCTGGAAATCCCAGGACATAAATAAAGGGACACAACGTCTGCCCAAAAGGTAGCTTTCTGCGAAGGACCATAGCGGGGGGCAGGGAGGACAGGGAGACACAGAGA